AGGTCTTCTCATAGAAGACCTGTAGGTCTTCTCATAGAAGACGTGTAGGTCTTCTCATAGAAGACCTGTAGGTCTTCTCATAAAAGACCTGTAGGACTTCTCATAGAAGGCAAAAAAGTATTCATACAGAAGACCCTTCGGTCTTCTTAGAGAAGTTCAAAAGGTCTTCTCCTCACGATAAAAAGGTATCATTTGAATACAAAGTCAATATTTTATATTATACAGTGGACCTCATCGTTTATTTTTTTATATATTTTCATAAAATCCATATTTCACCATGAGATCACACGGCAAAAAAATATGAAATAAACCATTAAAGCTGCTGCTGCTGTTGTTGTTGTCTCATAATGTTTAACTATAATTTAATTATGAGAAATTATTATAAACATTGTAGACAAATAACAGCAGCAAACAGTTATTGTTAATTAAATTATTGAAAATCTACAAAAAATGTGAAGAAGGCAGTCACACGGATCTTTAGATACCCTACAATAAAACTTCAAATTGAAAATCTTGGTGATATTGGAAACGTGATAGCAAAAGCTCTAACGGAAGGAGAGCTATTTTAAAATACAAATTAATTGGAAACGAATTTTCGAAAATTTCCGCTTATTATTTAAATGTAAATTTAGTGCCTAGCTGGTTTATGGGCTAGTGAAAAATGTTGGAGATCATGTGATCATTAAAAAATAATATAACCTAGCTCAGCTCACCTTAATTTGAATTCGAAACTAATCGATCATGGAATTTTACACACTTAAATGATTCCCCCCATTTATCGGTTGCATTTCATTTAACATTCTGACATTACTATCTACATTACGATAGTGTGTACTTTCCCAAAGCAAATTCCAATAAAAAATACAACAACAACAACACCGAAAAAACATGCAATACAAATTAACAACAAATTTGTATTTCGAGTTTATGGGAAATTAATGAGTAAATGTTATTTTTATCAATTAATTATTATTATTATTGTTATAATGTATTCCAAATGAATGAATGGTCGAACGTCGGACTGGCGGGTTGACTGGCTGACTGACTAAATGAACGACTGCAATTTATTAACGATAACTGACATAAACCTATTAAAGTGTAATTTACATTTGAAAGTGCACTTTCATTAAATCACTGGCGTTTTTTTGTTGGCTTCGCTCAAAGTTGCCGTTTTGGGTGCAAAGTTTGTGCTTTTTTTTTTTTTGTTGGAAATATTCGAAGCTAATGACGTCAATGGGGCTTGGAAACCAACCACCAACTGGTAAAACTAACGTTGTAATAATTATAGAGCAATAACGATTGCGATGTGTAATAAATTTCTAGTGGGTATTTTATATGGAAAAGTTTAAGGAAAATTTATTGGAGGATGAAAAGAAAGTAACCAATTATTTGGGGGGAATACGAACACACACATACATGTAAATTTCGTGCTAAAATATTAAAATATAATAAATTGTTTTGCTTAGATACCAGACTTACTCCTCTCGATTTCCGCGAATCCAATGTTCAGCAGATATTCGGCCAATCTAGTGCTAAATTTCAAACCCAAAAGAGGTTTGGGTTTCCAGACCTAACTTTTTTAGTGAACATTATATATAGCCTTAACCTCCTTCTAGCCTCCTTCACAAAATGTAAGATATAGCTTTAAAATTTGATAAGGAACTTTGCGTTGCATGTAGAATTATGGGTTCAAAATATGTTTCATATTGGTCCACGTTTTCGTATAGCTTCCATAAAAGGCTATACGCCGATTTCAAGCATATTTTATTATTTTAGCAATATTTACCAAAACAATTTTCAAAAGGTTGGTCCTTTGAGTTCTCAGTAAGAAGAGACCATTCTTGCAAAAAATTACAAATATACGCACCATTTTTGGTATAAACCTCATATGAAGGTATCCCCCGATTTCGGTTATTTCCGGGGTCTTAACATGTTTCTCCGCGTATTTTTATCTGCAAAACGCTATGTACAGGGTTGCCCATATTTGACGGACCCATCTGGCAACGCCATAACTTTTGACAGAGATGTCACATCGCTTAATGACATACCGCGTTTGAAGCGTCAGTCCAAGCAGATTTTTACCATGAACCAACACACGCCACGCGAGCGCTCTGAAATACTTGAAATTTACATTCAACAGAAGAAGTCAATTGTGAAAACTCAACGTGCTTTTAAAACATTAAAAGATGTGAGAAGTGCGCCTTCTAAGAACACCATTAAGCGTTTATACGAAAAATTTTCGACTGGTAAGGCTCTTTTTAATCCAAAGAGGCCATATAAAAGTCGACCAAGGCGATCGGCCGAGAATATCGCTGCCGTACGAGCCAGTGTTGAGAGGTCCCCAAGAACATCCCAAAAACGCCGTTCTCAGCAGTTGGGCATGGCTCGGTCTACTTTACAACGGATTATTCGCATTGATTTGCATTTGTTCCCGTACAAAATTCAATTGACGCAAAGAATGTTGCCTGCGGACAAGCCTCGTCGATTGGAATGGGCCCAAAAAAACATGGGTCCGTCGAATATGGGCAACCCTGTAGTTAAAATCAACAGATTCCAACACATTTTAATGCGAAAATATCAAAAAATATGAAAGAGGGGTTATAGTCGTTCGGTGACGGCTGTTTCCTGTAAAGATACTCGGGAGACGATGTCCAGTCTTAGGTTTTTTTTTGCTTCGGCAGATCACTGCAGGTAGGTTCGGGTTTTGCGTTTGGGTCGTCAACGACGGCTCGGAAACCATTCTAATTAACTACCAATATATGAACTCCGTATCATACAATGAGCCAAAGCTCCTGTGGACTAATGAGCCGAAGACTCCTGGAACAACGAGCCAAAGTCTCTTGTGGAAAAACGAACCGAAGCCCCAGGTGGAAATGAAATACCGGCCACTTAATGAGAGCCAATTCAGGTTTCCGGCAGTAGCAAGCTTGTCTTGTCGTAACACAAACCGAACGCTATATAGTATCGGCATTACCAAGAGAATGAGAATTATTTGCCTTAGTTGGCGAACGACATATTGTCGAAAGCTGAACTGTTCGTTATTACGCTGATCCCGTTGCTATCGCCGCATATACTTGTGGTCTTACTGTTGCTGTTGTTACAACCCAGCTAACATTTTTTTCCGAGGATCCTGAGTTTAGACTTTTTCCCGAGATCTCTAATTATTATTTTTTTAGAAAATTCCAGATTTTTCTAACTTTCTTCTAGAAATCGGATCGATTTAGAAATACTTTCCGATTTATGTCAGACGTCCCTACAACTCTTGTACCGAATTCGCAAGGACTTCAGAATCGGAAATTTCAGCAGAGATTCATACCGAATTCGGAATAAAATGTTACCTGGGTATTGATACAATGGGTGCGATTGCATGTTCTTACTAATGTATGTGATGAAATCATTACGTTATAGAACACCTGGTTTGGAACCGAGTACTTCTTACAAAGTATTTTATAAGACTATCAAGGCCAGAGGCCTTGGTTATATTTTTATACTCTCCACCTTGAAAAGGAGGGTATTTTAACTTTCCGTTTATAAATCCCAGAAATACTTATGTCGTGCCCGAAGTATACATATTCTGGATCAGCGTTAATTTCACGCTACCTTTCGAACGAATTTAAATTGAAGCTAAAATTTGGCACAACATGTGTATTTCGCCAGCAGGTAGGTTAAGTTCGTAAATGGACCATGTCGGTCCATGTTTTCGTATAGCCCCCATACCTCTCAATATTCGGTATTTTGTTGATTTTAGAGACATTATAGAGCGGAATTGTTTCAAATTTCGTATTCGGTACTACATCCTATGACAAAAAATTTCTTATACACGTCCACGACTTCGTATAGCGCCTATATAACGATACCTTCCGATATTGGGTATTTTGATGATTTTAGCGACATTTTTACCAGAATTGTTTCAAATTTTGTATTCGAAGTTCGTAATGGGTACTACAGCCTATGACAAAAAATTACTTTTAAAGGAACATGTCTTCGTGTAGCCCCCATGCAAGGGTTACCAATTGAGAAATATTTTTCGACGAATTTTATTTTGAAAATTTTCAAGTTTCTTCAAAATGGTGGGGGTTATTAAAAATTCATCCCGCCAGAACTTAAGTGATTTTTTACCTGTTTCTTTTACAGGGACGGACACTTTTAGTAAGTCGTTTTAGGGTTAATTTTTTTCAGTCGTATTGATGCATTCACTTTTTGGCTAAAATGAAAGGTTCGAAAGAAAAAAATGTTGAAGGGTGTGGAGTTTGTGATCTCTAGTTAGGGCATGTAAACTTTTAAAATGCCGATACACGTGCCACATATTTTCGAACGGGATTTTCCTTTTTCTATTCAAATTATTTTTCATTGTTGAAACCCACGAAAAATGTTATCCATTTTTGGGTTTCAGCTAAAATCAACGGATTCCTAGGAATCTTTATTCGAAAATTCCAAAAAGTGTGGAACAGAGAGCCCCACTTTCATAATCTACTTCGATTTCCTGCTAATTATAGAGCAAATTTAATTTTTTCGCACAGTGTTTTCGAACAAAAATCGGGATTGGATTATTTAATTTAAATTTAATTTTTTATTGTCATTTATTGAAAACTTCGAAAAATTTTATTTCTCTTTTCTGAGGATAAAAAATGCATATATAACAAGTAAATGATAAAGTTAAATTTGATTCGAAAATTTAAATTTAATTACCAGGATTATTCAACCAGAATTTCTCAACCACCCTCCTTAATTTTCAAAAATTATTTCGAAATTTAATTAATTAGACCGCAACACCTTGCAATTAATTCGCTGCAATGTCTCACCTCTCACAAATGCATTTTCTACAAAAAGAAAATGAATTCAAAAACATTTCGAAACAATTAATTGTGATCATTTAGACTGAGAAATAAGGCCACCATCCCATTGCATTGCAGATTTCTCTCAAAGATGTAAACTTACAATCTCATTGGATGCTCGGCGGAAAAGTGGAACATCCTCTCATGGCATTGGCATTGAATTTGAATATTCGGCCAAATTAGTCTCATTGTAAAATTACGGGCGGAATGTGATTTTCCTAGAAACCCATCCGAATTGAATTGAATTTACACATTTCATTAAGAAGGCACAAAAAGATTTGAAAAATAAAACACACATTGCGAAAATATTTTGCCAAACAAAAAATTCCGAGCAAATGAGCAAAAAACAACACACACAAAGTTTGTGAGCGGTGATTTTTGTTGTTGTTGTTTTTGTGATAAACAAACAGACAATGATCCGAACCTAGGACAACAATACAATAAGCAACCCAGATACAACGACGTCTCCTACAGCTTATGTCTTGGAAAATCCGAAAATTCCCAAAAGATACGAAGATCGGTGGAAATGTAAGTAGTAGCAGATATTGCACAATCGCCCCAAAAAGAGAAGCGGAAGTGGATTTCGGTTCTGTCAATTCAACGCAAAGTTAATTAATATTCTTGTTGGTGTGGTTACCTTGGGTAATTGGGTTGGACAGACAAAAATATATATGGGCCTTTAAGCCGCCTATACACAGTAGCTATGCGTGTGTGTGTGTAATAATTTTCGTTGAGAATTTTGTTTGTAATTGCATTAATTAGTGGTTGTGCTTCGGCCCCTTTGGCTCGCCTTGCCTTATGATTACACAATTGGAAATCGTTAAAGCAAACATTGTCAAACGCAAAACAGCTGTCTAAGCATTAATAATGTAAGCGGAAAACGTAATTATTTTCACCACGGCAAGTATCCGCCGCACTCGCTTACATTCAGTAAGTGCTCGTCCAGTGTGTACGGGTATGTGTGAGTAGTGATGAGGTAGTGCTATTTTTTTTATCGAAATGTGTCTAAAATTAAATCACGTGCCATGAACATGATTTATTTCGTCAATTAGTGATGACACAAGTGTTCAACGTTTTGCCCATCAGGGTGATGTACATGTGGTGGGGTGGCATGGGATGTGGGGTTGGCGAGCTGAAAAGCACAGGAATTTCAAATTGGGAGATCTTTGTCGTTTTCATTTTGGGGAGGCCAAAGTAGCAAAACAAATTAATGACAGATTTCTGTTTTTTGCAAGCAAAAAGGGGCGATCAAAAGATCAAACATTTTCCCCAGGAGGTTTTGGGGGGAGGGTTTGATTTTTGACGCTCTCTATGTTGTAATTAATCAAAACGGCAATGATTTTTTTTTTATTTTTTAGCACAGTTATTGTGTATTATATATGTAATTGTCTTTAAGGAGTCATTAAGGAATATTCGGCCAATAATCCTCAATAATGATGATGAGTTGCTTCAGGACACTCGAAATAATTTGTGGAGAGGTCTACATGACACGAGTTTTAATTTATGAGAGTCTTTGAAAATATAGTTTCAAGGACTACAAAATCTTATTTTGCGGATATCCTAAAATATAATCGAAGATAGTTCAAGCATATCAATCCGACTTATAATGAGGATTTTTCATACCCTCGGCCATATGGCTACAGAGGGCATATATCGTTTGATAGGCCAAAACGTGCCTCATTGATAAAGCGGTTTTAGACGCTAGGCCTCCTTGGACCAAATCCGCTTTAGGTCATTTGTAGTCGATCTGCTGGCCAATTCCCTAGGTCTCTTTGGACCAAATCTGCTTTAGGTCATTTGTAGTCAATCTGCTGGCCGATTTGGTCCAAACTTAGCACGGCGCTTATGATACTTATATTGACTTCGGAGATGGGTAATATCGGCCTTCTTCTTCTGCTACCTTCCCCCACAAAAGGTCAAAAATTTCCAAAAAAAAAAAAAAAAAAAACAAGTAAAAAAGCTGAAAGTTCGGCCGGGCCGAACTTTTAATACCCTCCACCATTTGGTACAAATTTGACAATTTCCAAAAAAAATTAAAATCCGTTCAAAATTCTGTTAAAATCTTAAAAATACTGAATGCATATACGACGACGTGGACCTGCATAGGCAAATTTTTTCATAAGTTTTTACAATATTTAAATGCGAAACTTGAAGAAAAATCTGTTTATAATGTAGCCAACTTTGAAACGATTCCGTTGAATAATGTCGCTATCGGGGGGTATGGAATATGGGGGCTATACGAGGACGTGGACCTACATTGTCCATTTTTTGTTTTATGTTGCAGTATCTATTACGAACTTCAAATACCAAATTTCGAACGATTCCGTTAAATAATGTCGCTTAAATCATCAAAAATACCGAATATTGGGGAGTACCGTTATATAGGGGCTATACGAAGACGTGGACCTACACAGATTATTTTCTGTCTTAGGCTGTAGTATCCATTACGAACTTCAAATGCCAAATTTGAAACAACTCCGGTGAATAATGTCGCTAAAATCATCAAAATTCCGAATATCGGGAGTTACCGTTATATGGGAGCTATATGATAACTTGGGCCTCATTTACGAACTTAACCTGCCTACTGGCAAAATATACATATGTGCAAAATTTTAGCCTTCTATCTCAATTTGTTCGAAAGATAGCGTGATTACAACAGACAGACGGACTGACAGACAGACAGACACACAGACAGACAGACGGACATGGCTAAATCGTCTTAGAATTTTACGCTGATCAAGAATATATATACTTTGTTGGGTCGGACATGAGTATTTCGGGGAGTTACAAACTGAATGACAAAATTAATATACCCTCCATAGTATGGTGGAGGGTATAAAAATATTTCAATGCACAAAAAGTGAAAGGATAATCCAATTTTGTTCCAACGTTGCGAATCCTAGTATTTGCATCACAGGCGTTAAGAATTCCCGTTATCAGCGCAAAAATCGTAGATTTTCAAATTATTTTTTTCGAGAGCACTAGATTTTTTTACAAAACATTTTTTGCAGAAATCTGGAATCTAGAAGTGCGCATTTTTCATAATTTTCCAGGACTAGACTATCAGGCAAATAAACTTATATTGACTCCGGAGATGGGTAATATCGGCCTTCTCCTTCTGCCACCTGCAAAAGGTCAAAATTTTCCAAAAACAAAATATTTCACTGCGCAAAAAGTGAAAGGAAATCCAATTTTGTTCCAACTTTGCGAATCCTAATATTTGCATCACTGCAAGGTCAGGTGCGAAAATGGACAATGAAAGGCTTTAAAGGCGGTAAGAATTCCCAGTATCGGCGCATCGTGGATTTTCAAATTATTTTTTCGAAATCCCTGGATTTTTTACAAAACATTTTTTCCAGTACTCTCACATCTGGAAGTGTGCATTTTTCATATTTTTTCCAGGACTAGACTATCAGGCAAATACTAATGGATTTTTAAATAAATCTTTGTAGATCTATGGACCAGAATGGATTAAAAAGCAAATTTTTGACCCTTTACGAAGGAGATAAGAAGTGAATAGTGGACCAATATTGTCCAGTTCGCTTTCAGGGACTAACTGTTCATCCAATACGAAATTGTACCAAATATGGTACTTTTTGTGGATTTGTAGTATATATTTCCGAAAGCCCCTCTTTATCACAAACCCATCACCAAGGGGGAAATTTCAAAATTCCAGTTTTAGGCATTTCGTGTGGACGTTAATTATAGGTCAGTCAGTCAGTCAGTTATTTCCTACTCTTTTATACACATTATAGAATATATTTTTTTTCGCACATTATAGAATATATTTTTTTGATACAAATATCAGGATTTTAAGAATATGCAAAAAATTGGATCTAAGCTGAATTATTTTCTGTGAAAATTCGGACCTTTTGTGTTGAAGGTACCAAAAGAAGTGGACCGATATTGCACATCTCCATAATCGATTTAATGTTTGTAAAAATATTACGATATACCAAGTTTGGATGAAAACGTACACTCCCTTCGAGAGTTATAATGAACACCAGAAAGACGAATGGTTGGACGGACCGACAGCCCTAGTTCGACTCCAAATATCCTGAAACTGATTTGGTCCAAATATACCTAGTGTCTAAAGCCGTTATTTTAATGAGGTACGTTTTTCGTAAGACTAAGGGTGTAAGCGGCAGACTACTTTCACAGCTAGAATCGTGGATTATTTAAAAAAGTTAAGGGAACCTTGAGTTGTAGTGGTGAATTGTTTAATATTTTAAAGGACCTTTAAAGCTAGAATTGCAGATTTGTTAAAAATTAAAGTCGAGAACATTTCGAAAATATTTATTTAATCATAATAGTAGACTTTTTGGGAGTAGTTTTTAAGCAACCAACGTATACAAAACTGTGGATTTTCAGAAATGTTCCTTTAAGGATAGTCCTGTGAGAACAGCGGACTAAAACAATATTTTCGAAGACTAAAGGGCCTACAATCGTGGACTTTTAAGAACATTTTTCAAACCCTACCAGGCCTATAATTGTTTAGCCTTGGAGGACTCTTTAGACTTTTGTTTTTGATTTCTGAAAGGGGTTTCTGACCATTAAAAAAGGATATTAATGTGCAATTTTTCAAAAAATCACAAAAAGAGATAAAAAAATCTGTCAATGGACATATCTATTAAAAGGATAAAATATGTATCAAGGACCATCAGAGATAATATTGTTTAAAGGACCCTCAGAGGTTAATCATTGATTTAAAAAAAAGGTCTGTTAAAAACCACCAGAGCAAGAAAGGTGGAATCTCCAAATAATTATTGAAGGACAGTCATAGCTAAAATCGTGTATTTTTAAAAATATTTTTAAAAGATTTTCGGAGCGCAAATTAACGATTTTTTAAAATGTTTTTCGAAAACCTTCAGAGGTAGAATCGTGGGCATTTTAACTTTTTTCATGGATCTACAGAGCTAAAATCAGAGAATATTTTAAGAGCATTAATTGTTGCTTTGTTTTCAAAGAGCTAGAATCGAAGATTTTTAAAAATATCTCTAAGGTCCCTCAGGGCTAGAATCGAGACATTTTTATAAATATATCTTTAAGAATACTCAGATGATTTTTTTAAGACTAAAATCTTGGAAATTTAAAAATAAATGTTCAAGGATCCTCAGGCTTTTTCAGGATTCTTTCAGGATTCTTTTCTGGATTTCAGGATTTTTTTAAATATTTTTAGGATTAGGATTTTTAGCAAGTATTTTTTAGAAATATTTATTAAGGATTTTTAATAATGTTTTAATAGATTTGTAAGAGTATTTTTCTAAAATTTTTAAGAATCTAAGAATACCAAATTTATAACAACATTTTCAGTAGGACTATCCGAGTCACAATAATTGATATTTGTAAAGATTCTGCTTCAGGGACTTGATTTTTAAAAAATTTTCCATATAAAAACGTTCGACCTTTAAAAATATTTCTTCGGGAAAATTTTGGTTAAGAATTTTTTTAAAGCCGGTTATACCGAAAATCACAAATTTTTTCCAAAGTCTGATTTTTAAAAACATATTCTTTAAAATATATTATGC